ATTAAGTCATGCCTTTCACACATATCTACGATAATTTTGCCTGTTGGGTCGGTATACCCATCTATATCTTCTATGTGCACATTCATATCTCCTAGTTTAATTATCTCGCACTCTCCTCCTAATTCCTAAATGTCCTTTGATATACACTCTGCCATTGCTTGGTTTTCCTCTCTGGCCTTTGCTCCCGTCCACAAGTACACCAAACCAAGGAGTGTCATTTGCCCTGCCACTTTCCCTTTTAGCCATAAATGTTCCTTGCACTCCTGCTTTACCAATCGCCAGTCTGTACTTTTATGAATGCAAGCACTCTCAAATTATGACAGGTAGATTGCCACTATCCCTCAAGAGGAAGGTATATAACAGCTGTATCTTGCCGGTACTTAGCTACGGAGCAGGAAACTGGAGACTTACAAAGAGTGTTCAGCTTAAATTGAGGACGACGCAGCGAGCAATGGAAAGAAAAATGGTAGGTGTAACCTTAAAAGACAAGAAGAGAGCAGAATGGATTAGGGAACAAACGGGGGTTAAGGATATCATAGCTGAAATCAAGAAGAAGAAATGGACATGGGCCGGGCATGTAGCGCGTAGACAGGATAACCGCTGGTCATTAAGGGTAACTAACTAGATTCCCAGAGAAGGCAAGCGGGCTAGGGGGAGACAGAAGGTTAGGTGGGCAGATGAGATTAAGAAGTTTGCGGTTATAAATTGACAGCAGCAAGCACAGGACTGGGTTAACTGACGGAACATGGGAGAGGCCTTTGTCCTGCAGTGGACGTAGTCAGGCTGATGATGATGATGACTTTTATGAATGAATGCCCCAATACCACCCCACTTTCTGCTGCCTTCTGTTCTATTACAATATTCCCACGCATAGTCCGGATTGTTAGGAGGTTGTTCCATGTCCCTAAGATGTGTTTCTACAAAACCGTGTACCGTCGGCCTCTTCTCTCTTAGCTGTTCTTCTATCTCTTCCCACTTCAGCCTGTTCCTGCCACCCTGCATGTTATTACACCCTATGTCTGGATTAGCTCGGCGCTCGCTGCTACGTCTATTTCTGCCCCGGACTCTACCTATCTTAGATACTGCTGCTACTTTGGAATCGTATCTGTCCATACCACCTGTCAAAGAGTCTCCCTGGTTGTTTTCCTCGTTACTAGCTATCCTGCACCCCGAAGGGCCCGCGTGCCCCACAAAAAAGCTACTGCGGGTCCTGCAAGTCGCCAACCCACCTCATGACCTAGCCGCTCATCGAAGTGAATTCTCTCTCGTTAAAAACCACCCCATCTATGCACCTCTCTGTTTATTTCCACCACCTCAAAGCCTTTCTCTCGACTCATCCGCCATATCTCTTGGTTTGCGTTGACAACCGCTCTTCGCAGGTTGTTGTCACGCACCGGTACCTCCGGTATCGTGCATATCACTACCTGTACCTGAGGAGAAGTGGCGCGCATGCATTCGACTCCTTTTGCCAGTGTGGTCACTAGTCCTGCCGTATCTTCATTTAAGACATCGTTTAAACCACCTGAAATTATCACGAGGTTTCGTCTATCAGCTGTAGTTTTGAGTTTTGCGCTCGCTTGCCTCACCGCTGCTTTCGGCTTGCGTCCCAGGAACGCCCCTACTGCAACCCTTTTGTCACCTCTAACTCTTTCTTTGATTGCTTCTGCGCATCGATTTAAATTCGAGTCCCTAGCGATTATCACATGTTGTGACTTTTCAGCTGGAGCGTCCTGGACCTGGGGGTTACCTGCACCTGTGATGCCGGCTGCTTTGTCCCCTCCCAGCCCCACCACTACTTCGCTGAAGCTGGGCCTTGCGACAATTGAACCGGCTGAACCTGTTTTTTTCCAAACTTGCTAGCTCTTTCTTTTCCGCCGTTCTGGTTGCCGGTGCCCTACTGTTCTTTCCGTCGGCCGCTCCTTTGTTCACCTTGGCTAGTGCTTTCTCGGCGGACTTCAGCCTTTCTCCCAATGCCCACGTTTTTTCTTGCTCTGTTGCCAACGCAGTCTCCAGCTCAGTGATTCTCAACAGCAGTTCACTCTGGGCAACTATCGCTTTCTCAATTTTTTCCTCGACGTCACATTGCTTACACTTCGCGTCAGCCTCCTCTCCATTTGCTTCTGCACTTTGGTTCATTTTCAAACTCACTCCGCATCCTGAACACTTTACAGCCTTTTTAACGGCATGGACAGATGGTGCCATCTGGCGAGCATTATGGGCAATTAGGCAGGTTTGAGCAAAAAATGATTGTCACACGTGGACACGTGCTCGGTTGCGTTTCGGTTTTGCCATTATGGTTTTGCGGTAATTAAAAGTGATTTTCGTATTTGTTGAGCATTTAAGCTTTCCTGCGCGAGACAGGAGTGTCTCAGGAATATAAAAGCTCCGTTGTCCTTACATGGTCAAGAAATCGCCGGACTTGTCCTTTAAGTCTCTTCAAGGTTTCGCCTGTTTACCTCTATGTGAAAGGGAACGCTGTTCAAACATTTTTCAAGGCGAGACCTCTGTTGATTGCATAACGGGCCAATGTCACAGAAGAGTTGGAAAGGCTAGTGAAGACTGGCGTTCTTTCCCCTGTCGCTCACTCTGAATGGGTTACGCTAATTGTGCCGATGTTGAAGAAAGACGGGTCAGTAAAGATCTGCAGCAACTACAAGGTAACCGTAAACGTAGCACTGCGCAATGGAGACATCTATAGCACCTTATATTTGTGGGACACCTACAACCAGATTCCAATGTATGACGAGTCAAGGAAGTTAACCACCATCTGTACCCACAAAGGGTTCCTTTGCTACAACCGTTTACCTTTTGGGGTGTCATCTGCACCGGCTGTCTCAAACGCACTATAGAAAATGTTCTTGGTGGTCTAAGTTGCGTACAAGCGTATTTAGACGACGTCCCTGTAATAGAAGGAAAGCAGACAGCGGTAGCCATCTCAAAGCTGTGCTTCGGTGGTTATTTGAATGTGGCTTAAAAGTATGGAAAGATAAATGTTCCTTCAGGGAGACGGAAGTGTCTTATCTGAACACAAAATAACCAGTGATGGAGTGATGGACTTCAGCCATTAGAGAAGAACCTGGAAGCTGTGATCAAAACACCAAGTCCAAGGAACGTGAGCGAGCTACGTTCTTACATTTGTCTGCTCACTTATTACAGCAAGTTTCTCCCGCGTATGGAAACCACACTTGCTTCATTGTATGGCCTCCTGAAGAAGGACTGCCGGTGGTAGTTGACTTCAAGTCGGGAACAAGCATTTGACCAGTCTAAGGAAGCCCTCTGACATGCCAAAATGCTACGCACTTTGACCAAACCAAGCCGTTGCAGCTCGAGTGCGACACCTCTCCGCATGGTATAAAGACGGTTCTTTCCCACCATGTCAACGAGGTCGACAAACCCGTAGCGTTCCGTTCAAGAACACTGACCCCGGCGGAACGGTATTCACAGCTCGAGCGGGAGGGCTTGGCATTGGTTTTCAGCGTAACCAAGTTCCGTGATTACCTGCTGGGGTGGCCTTTTATTCTTGTCACTGATCATAAAACATTAGTTGGCTTGCTCCGTGACGATTGCCCAACACCTGTCATGGCAGCTGCTCGCATCCAGCGCTGGTCTTTGCTTTTGGGAGCCTACGAATACCGGATAGAGTACAAGCCTGAAGGAGAAAACCAAAACGCCGACGCAGTCAGCAGGCTGCCTCTCGCGACTCCTGACGATGTCGCCGAAGAAATACCAGAATACGTACACTCATTGCAGCAACTTCATGACAGAAGTGTGACTTCATACGAGCTTCGCTGATTGACGGAAGCTGACCAGGTATTGCGAATGGCCAAGTTGTTTATACTGAATGGATGGCCACAAGGAAAACACGTGGAAGCTGGCTTGAAAGTGTACATGGCAAGGAAGCTTGATTTGACGGTTACACACGACCTCATCTTCTGGGGCCATATAAAATAGCTGTTCCCGAGGCTGCACGCAAGAGGATACTTCGAATTCTGCACGAATTTGGCTATGAAGGCAGACAATGTGAGGTGGCGAGAACTAGACTAAGAAATCGAACATTTATATGAGTAAGAATTGCGATATATGCGTGCAAGCAAGGCCATTGCATCGGGCGAAGACACTGATGAACTCCATGGCCACCAACTCAAGAAAACTGATCCCGCATTCACCTCGATTTTGCCAGTACAGTGAATGGTGTCGTAATATTATTGGCAGTGCATTCCCATTCCAAATGAATTGAGGCAGTGCCTACACTTTAAGGCAAAAACGTGGTAAAAAGCTGCGTCGTTCGTCCTTTTGGGGACTTATGGGGCTGCCACAATATTGACCCCTTTTTGGACTAACAACATCTGGTTCAACAATTAGTCCCAATATATTTGCACCTTATCAGGCTAACAATTAGTCCCCAGAGAAGCACCTTATGGACTAACACTTAGTCCCCACAGACACTCCTTATGAGCTAACAGTTAGTCCCCACAAATACACTTTATGGACCAACAGTTAGTCTCCACAGATGCACCTTGTGGACTAACACTTATTCCCCATGAATACTCCTTATGGATTAACAGTCAGTCCCGACAAAACACTTTATTGACCAACAGTTACTTCCCACGGATACACCTTATAGATTAACACTTTGTCCTTACAGGTACACCTTATACATTAACAGTTAGTCCCTGCAGATACACTTTGTAGATGAACAGTTAGTCCCCACAAATGCACTTTATAGACCAACAGTTAGTCTATACAAATGCACCTTACGGACAAACAGTTGGTCCCCACAAATGCACTGCATGGACCAGCAGGTGATCCCCATAAATGAACCACAAATTCATCTCGTAGACCAACAGTTAGTCGCCACAATTGTTTTTAAACGAGGCCACACAAGGGCACCAAAAAAATTGTTCGCAACTCACTTCTGGGGAACGATGAAATTACGTTTGTAGTAGGACTCTAGATAAAATTTGCAGTGCAAAGGCTACACCGAAAATAAATAAAATGAATGCAAATGAGACAAAAGGTTTTATTTATAAATATGTATGTGAAAGAATTTCAGCCTCGGTAAAATAAATAAAAAATATGTTGAAAACATTACTCCAGGCATGCCTGGAGCATGGTGTGAGCCACTCTGGCCAACGGCGAAATGCGACCACTGCCTGGAATCCCGAGCAGCTTTCCCAAAACTTCAAATGTTTTCTGTGCACCTTTTGCGAAAACAATGTCGAACGCCCAGTAGAGTGCCAGCAAAGTTGCCAGTGCATTTGTTAGTGTTGTTTCGACCACTTCGTAGTTTTCCACACAAACTTTAAAGTAAGTGCAGTCCAAAACATTGCCCAAGCAGACAATGCTCGGCACGGCATACACGATGTTTTCCACCTATAAAGAAATCATTTGAATATAGTTAGAGACAGATCATGTTATATATAGAGATTCTAGGAGAAACAGGCTTTAACTGATGGTGTAATCACATGTGCAAGGTGAAAAAAAGTTCACAAGCGAAATAATTCTTGTCACTGTAATCACAATGGTTACTCAGTATTACACAATAAGTCATTTGAAACCCCTTGAGATAGTTCTGAAAGAAAATTTTAAAATATGTACACGAAGTGTTTTTTTAAGCAATACACATTTTTCCTTAAAACAAATTATATTAGGTACTTGCTCTTTTCGCAGACAATTTCCAGATCAAGACAGAAAAATTTTGCCATTAATTAATCACTCAGAAATGACTAATTTATAAGAATTACATCTATTAACAATTTTATTGTCTAGTTCAGGGACGTAAATAAAGTTTTTTCATTCCATTCCATTTGTGGGAGCTCGTTTGCATGGCAAAATTGTTCTACTTCGCGAATTATGGCGAGCCTAGTTCCTAAAAATTGAAAATGTCGCGTGTAGTTTCAAATATGCATTGTCGCATTTCCAAACTGCGATGCTGAAGAAACCGAAACTGAAGGCACGAGGTACACCAGAAGGGCGGTCCATGTGCTGCATCATGCACTAACTTCCCCTTACATAATCGCAGTGAGACGCGAGGATAATCTGCCTTCGTTTCACATGCGATCACTTTCTGTCATTTGGTGCATCATGCAAACACCATGCACATTGATTCCAGTGCTCATATGACTCATTTATCCTCCCTCATGGGGGGAAAAAATCGAAGCTGGCAACATGCCATGGGACCGGACACCAGCCATTACGGGTATGATGCATTAAAGGCCTTTATGTTCGAGTCTTGCACCTTTCAGAAGTTATAATCACAAGGAATCAGATAACCACCACACATCACGAAGTTGGCATGTTCTGCTAAGATGACACAAGGTTTCTTGCACAATGCGCCATCCTTCAAGTTACGCAAAGAGATGTTCATCCATTATGCAAAACAGAGACTGCCCTTCAGGCACACCCAGTGCATTCAGTTTCTGTTTGTCAGGCATCACGGTGTGCAAAGGCGATGATGAATCTCTGCAACTACATATAATATTCTGATTTTTAAACAAAACATTTTATGCATCTTATGCTTGGGACTCACACCATTTTATTCAAACACATGCAAAATGTAGTAAAGCATTTGTATATTTAATGTTTCTTATCAGTGAGTTACTTTCATTGATAAGAAACAAAGGCGAAACCAGTAACTTGAAAATGTGACAGCCTGTTTTTGCTACAGCATGTGATGTGACATCTTGTCTATTTCTGCGCAGATACATGTAATTGGCTTGGTCTTATGTGCAAAGCTTCTGTATATATATTGCATTCCTCAGCAATAAACCAGCTTCTGGTTGTTAGTTCAGTGCCATTATCTGCCGTTCTTTCTCCAACATGTGCCCAGCGCTGTTTGTTTGCATCCTGATTTAGTTTTCATTTATTTTAGATATAAGGCATTAACCAAAGTTCCCACATAAATGAATGAATTGCTGAGACAAGTGAACACATTTCTTATAAGAAGTTTTTGTGACTAGATATACTTAGGGTATAAAAGTGCTGACGTTTTATTATTTGTCTAAAACTGCTCCCCCATACCCTAAGGAGGCCTGTTCGCCATAGAGTCCCAACAGTAATATAATGGCTTAATTAATCCTAAAGATCTCAACTGCAGCATTTCACAAGATGAATACACTTACAGAATTCACAAATGCTTCCTTGCGCTCCTTCACGAGGCAGGGCAGCAGACAGATTACAGCATTCTGCATCAAATCTGTAAAAGCAAAATGGAATAAAAGTATGTGAGTAGGCTCGACAGTGTTGCATGAGAGCAGCACTGCATCAGGCCGAAAAAGTATTTAAATTGGGTAGCATGACAGTTAACAAATATCACGTTCAAATTCAAACAGCATCTATCTGGGACACTTATGGAAAGACGTGAAGTTTGGAATAATGGACCGATGATTCCTGTTTCTTACTTTCGTAAATTTTAAAAAGTTCATACTTGAAGTGTTCAATTGAAAAACTACAAAAGATATTTACACTGGAATTTAGTCTGCAACACCCCCCAAAAAACTAAACAAGTTTAAAAAAACACTCTACACAATTACAAGTTTACATATATGTATTCCACATTAAGTGTGCTCGGACAATTTTTAAAGATCTCCCATCATGCTGAAAGAACTCGTGCAGGTATATGTGACTGCGAAAAGTAGCTGTTGAGGCGTTATATTTCGCAGAAAATTTTTCTTGCTAAAAGGATGCTTCACACTTTGGGCACCTCAGAGATTGTGTCGTGCTAGATAATGTATAAAATATTACTAGTTTGAGCAATACTCTTTCATGACTATGATTGTTTATTAATTTCTGGTTCAACTTCATTTTTTGCTGTGGCAAAAAAGTGCTTGAGCTGAAAAGGAACTTTTACAATATGACTCCACTCTTTCGAGAATAGTAAAGAGGGCTATTGTTGCTCTCTGCCTGGAGTTAGCAGTAAAGTAACTTTTTGAGCCCAACTTGCAGGCCACTTTTGAAAGGCAGGTGATTAGGTTTTGGGTACCCTTGTTCCGTCCTATGTCTGTGGCTAAAAAGCTACTACAGAAGGTTTACTATAGGAGGTTAACGTAGGCACACCAGTGAATGGTGCTAGAGCCGGTGAGCTTAGTGGTCCAAGGCATGAAATTGTGTATATTGTGCAGCAAATGAGCCACAATTTAAAAAAAAGAGGGGGGGGGGGGTAGTAAGTGCAGAGTACTTATCATGTTTTCTGCTCCCTACAGGCTTGCCCAATAGTGCCTCTGCGTCGTGAATGTCACAATACAGAGGCGCGAAAAAAAAAAAAAAAAGAACTCCGTGTTCGTTGCGTGGGGACAAAGAGAAAAACGAAGCGTGCGCGTGGTGCGTGCGGTGGTTCGAGACAGCGCGTGCAAGGAGTCAGCTCTCGGCTGGACGTTCGGTCTGGGGAACTAGATAACGGCATCTAGGCGCTCTACTGTTCCTGGCCTCCGGCTGGGCGACTGGCCCAGGGACCAGGCGATCCACTGCTGTTCTGGCTGCCGTTCCGGACAGCTGGACATCCTGTGAACGAGGCCTGTACTCCGGCTGGGCGACTGTTCTAGGGACCAGGCGAGGTTCTGGGGTGCTGGCTGCCGTCCAGAGTGGCTGTGGCTTTTGGTTGCTGCAGGCCTGATGTTCCTGCTGTCGTTCCGGGTGGCTGGCGCGACCACGGTGCGCTGCTGAGACGAGCGTGGTGGCGGAGAGCTGCTGCGGAGCTACCAATCAGCTACCGACTGCTGCTACTGCGGCAGAAGGCCGTGTCACGGCGTGGTCCGACGCACGTTGAGGACGGCAACGAGCCAGATGGCGCACAGCTCACGAGCGATCAGCGCTGGCGACCCGCAAGCCACATCAAAACACAGCGAGACTTTTCTAATTTAGAGAGACATTGAGTACAGCTATAGACTGCGTGTTTCTACTACTTTAAGTGTTACTCGTTCATAGTTACGTTCACTGTAAATATATTCTCGTGTGTGGGTCTGTGCGATCATGGTTCGATTCAGTTCCTTGCTGAGTGGTCCTGGGCCCAAAACTGACACTACGTCACTGTGAACAACCATTTCAAAAGCTGCCACCTCCAAAATGCTAAGCTGAATGTGCATTGAGCCACTAGGGAGGTGTATGAAATCACCCTGTCCAGCTATGTAGGGGCAAACTGGCTAGTGCATCAAGATGATGTTTTATGTTTTGTGGCGCAAGGGCCATTTCATGGCCAAAGAGCACCATTTCATCTTATTAGAGATATGGACAATGACTGTCATAAGCGGCTGTATAAGGGCCTTAAAATTCCTTGCCCTAAGGCGGGTAAAAACATAGAAGTAATAAAATCATTACTATGCCGTGAAAAGTGTGCGGTGTTAATAGATGACAAAAGTCTGTGATAATAAAAACGATGGTGGACATCTATGGCATAAGCACAAGTGCCTCCATCGATCACACCCTTGCGTCCAAGGGCCGTCAGGCAAGTGCTTTCCTCAGTGTAGCAGCCACCACAGCGGAAACCTCTCTGGAGAGGTCGTGCTACGATATGCCCGGGTATATGATATGAAAAGTACGAACTTCTCTTAAAAAAGCTGACAACGATTTATGTGTGAAACGTGGTTCCCTACCGACGAACATTGCAGGATGAAGTGGTATCTGTTGTCGATAGGGTAACGGGAAGTGTTGTCTTCTGAGCGTGTCTAATTCTTTATACTGGATTAGAATGTGAAGTATGGTGAGTGCTTCTCCACATCTATCACACAAAGGTGGATTGCCCCCAGACAAAAGAAATGAATGTGTTGTGTATGTATGTCCTGTTCTTAAACCTTGTAAGGATTACTTCTGTGTGGCGTGATTTTGATACTGGCGGCCAATGACCAAGTTGCGGCTTGATGACATGCATTTTATTATCGGTGTGTGTGTGCCATGTGCTCTGCCAACAGCCTCTGAGCTTTCGTTATAGAAAAGTTTTCAAGTGGAGTGCAGGAACTGGTATCGATGTATTGGAAGCGGTTTTGTCGGCGGATCCAGCTAGCTGGTCCACCAGAACGTGCCTTGAATTTTGCGGTGTCCTGTTACCCAGCAGACTACAACATGCTGCTTAGATGAGTAGACTGTGCATAAGAGCGAATAAAGCGAGACAAAGACAGGGTTTTTGTGCTTCTAAGTTTTCAGAGCTTTTACTATGCTGAAAAAATCTGTATATAGTATTGCCTTCTGTAGTTTTATTTGTTTAATGTGTTTAACGGCTGCAAGTATCGCATAAGCTACGCAGGCTTTCCACGGGGCTAGTGCGAAAAGCACCCGTGGAGAGACGGATGCCTAGGTGATGAACAGGGTCAAGCATTTTAAGGGCAGTAGGTGTCGCAGACTGATATGCTGTTGCCCCGTAGTCTAGGCGGGTACGTACGAGGCTTTCATACAAATTCATTAAACACTTCTTGTGACTTCCCCACATAGTGCGTGACAATACTTTTAGAATGTTCATAGCTTTTATACACTTGTTTTTTAAATGTTTGATGTGTGGTATGAAGGTTAACTTGGTGTCCAAGATTAGGTCTAAGAATTTGTGTTCAGTATTAACAGAAAGACGTTGCCCATGCAGTTGAATATCGGGTTCCGAATGAATGCCTCTCTTTCTGGAGAACAAAACACAAGTGCTTTTCTGTGCATTCAGTCGGAAGCGGTTTTCTTCTGCCCAATTGGAGACTTTATTCAAACCAAGCTGAACCTGCTGCTCACACATGGCCAGATTGCAAGATTTGAAACCAAGCTGGACATCATCGACATATGTACAATAAAACATATTGCGAGGAATGGACAAGCAAAACGAATTCATTTTAATAATAAAAAGTGTGCAACTAAGTATACTACCTTGTGGCACGCCTGTTTCTTGGACAAATATTTGGGAAAGAATGCTGCCTACTCGCACGCGGAATGTCCGGTTTGACAAGTAACTTTCGATTATAGTAAACTTTCTGCCACGCACGCCAAGGTGGGACAGGTCTTTTAATATTCCAAAGCGCCATGTTGTATCATACGCCTTTTCGATGTCAAGAAACACAGAGAGGAAGTATTGCTTGTGGACGAAAGCATCTCTGATCTGTGCCTCAATACTGACACGTGCGGTTCTTTTGGTTTACGAAGGAAGACGCTATCACTTTCTGTTGAGCGCAACGCAGGCCGCGTTTATCTTGTATGCCACTCTGGAACGCGTTACGACGCGTGTATAAAAAAAACTGACACGTGCGGTTCTTTTCGTTTGCGAAGGAAGACGCTATCACTTTCTGTTAAGCGCAACGCAGGCCGCGTTTATCTTGTATGCCACTTTGGAACGCGTTACGACGCGTGTATAAAAAGCCGGCGCAGTGCGCCACTGGGGGTCTTTTTTTTTTCCGTCGGCCGACGACTGTTCACGCCGCTGTTGCTGTGAGTTGTGTTTGGCCCTGTTTTGCTGGGCACAAGTTCGCCCAATAAACAGTTCGCCTGACACCGCCCTGACTCCTGCGTGCTTCCTCTCAAGTGCTGCGTGTATCACAACCTCGTGACAATACGAACAAGGTGGTCAGTGGCGGACCTACCCTCTCGAAACCCGCACTAAAACGGGTCAAGCAAATTGTTTGGTTCAAGGAAATGTACAAGTCGGCAGTTCAACATTTTTTCGAAAAGTTTTCACAAGCAGCTTGTAAGTGCAATAGGCCTATAACTCGAAACTGAAGAAGGGTCCTTGCCCTCTTTCAAAATGGGAATAATAATAACCTCTTTTCAGGAAGTAGGAATAGCGCCAGGAAACCAGATAAAATTGTACAAAGAAAGTAAGGTTGTTTGCGTTTCGATTGGCAGGTTTTTCAACATATCGTAAACCACTCGATCAGAATCTGGGGCGGAAACACTGCTGGAGTTTAGTGATGTCCAGAGCTCAGCCAAGCCGAAAGCCTGGTTGTATGCTTCGTGTTTTGTACATTTGTGTTCTAGTCTCTGCTTCTCAATTCTTGTTTTATGTTTTTGGAAAGCGTCAGTATAGTTTGACCAGCTGGACACCCGTTCGAACTGTGCGCCAAGGAAGTTCGCCTGATCTTCCAAGCTGTCGCCATGTGTGTTTACGAGTGCAAGTGAGTGTACTTGTCGTCCTGCTACCCCATAAACCATGTTCCAGACTTTAGCCTCCTGTGTATATGAGTTGATCCCTGTTGAAAACTTATGCCAACTTTCCCTTCTAGCCTGCCGACGCGTTCTCCAGTCTTGAGATTGTATTTTGTTAAAGCTGTCAAGGTTTTCTGCTGTTGACGAGTTCCACAGCAACCTCCATGCCCTGTTCTGCTCCTTTCGCGCATTTTGACATTCAATGTTCCACCATGGCACGCGTTGCTGGCCGGGCAGTCCAGATGTTTGTGGGATTCACTTGGATGCTGCGTCAGTAAGAAAAGCTGTGAAGTACTGCACAGGTTCATCTATGCCTAACCCGCATATGTCAGCCTAGCTTAAGTGAGTAATGTTATGAAATTGTTCCCAGTCGGCTTTGTTTACCAGCCATTTGGGAACATGTGGAGGACATTTATATAATGTTGGTGTACTCAAAACTAAAAGAAAATAGTTACTTCCATATAGATTATTTATGACTTTCCATTGGAGTAATGGTACAAGTGAAAGAGATGCGATAACTGAGGTCTATGGAGGAGTAAGTTTTGTTGGCAAGGTTATAATATGTTCCTTTTTCCTATTCAACAGAGAAGCACTTGATGAAAAAAGGAACTGTTCAATGAGACGACCTCGTGCATCACAGCGAGAATCACCCCACAGATCGCTATGTGCGTTCAGGTCCCCAAGGACCAGATAAGGTTCAGGTAATTCGTCTATTAAATAATGGAATGCACATTTTTCAAGACGGTGGTGCGGAGGTGTGTACAGAGAGGAGACAGTGACGAGTTTGTTTAGAATAACTGCTTGGACAGCCATGGCCTCGAGGGAAGTTTAAAGAGGTAATTGTGTACATGCTATCCCTTGACTAACTATAACAGCTACACCACCGAATAATGGCATGGCATCATTTTTATTTTTTCGGAAGATTACGTAGTTACATAAAAAGTTTGTGTTTGTTCCTTTTAAGTGCATCTCTTGTACACACAGAACTCTAGGATTGCGTTCACGGAGGAGTTCTTGTAAGCCATCAAGGTTTCGAAAAAGGCCTCGGATGTTCCACTGTAATATTTCTGTCTGCATATGAAAAAAGATGCTGCTGTGTGTACAGAAAGTATCCTGTGTCGAAGTGAACTTGTTAATTCAGGTGGCAGAACAGTTTTATTTTTCTTGGCACGCTCCAAGGAGCCGTGCCGCTCTTTCGGCACCAAGGGTACTGTTGTATCCATTGCCTACTCGGAGGCACTGGATGCCCGCACGTGCGAGATAGTGGTTCAGATTTTACGCCTCGCCTTGTGAGGTGAAGCCTTGAGACCAGAGGACCCTGGAGTCTTCGGTCTCGATTCCCTAGGAGGCGGAGTAGACTGAACTACTGCCGCCTTGGAGGCAGGTGCCCACAGCCGAGGGCCCACTTTGCGCTGGCCGAAGGAGTGGTGAGGGCTGGTGTTTGTTATCAAAGAAAACAGTACTGCACAAGCCAGACATTTGCAGTCTTGCTAGATGCTGAGCATGCTTCTTTGGTAATTCAATCAAACTGTTATTTGTTTAATGCTCCCTGTCACATGGTAAATATCACTCACACACCTGCATGTTCGAAACAATACATATTGATTTAATTATCCACTAAAGTTGCAAGTAGTGCCCGTGTTGTGTTTCTCTGTTTTTGAGATACACCATGACTATTAGCAATGTGGACGCAGCCATAGCCATAACACAACAAATAGAGCATGGCATGTGCAATGCACTGGATGTGGGGCTGGCTCCATTTGGCAGCAAATATTTGCAAGGCGAATGCCTTAGATGCTTCATCAAGCATGAAAATTTATTGGTATACCACGGTTGATGCAAACAATCATGATCACCAGATAACATAAACAAATGACATCACAGGCTCCCAAAACTTATGACATCATTGTACCTTAGTCAAATGTGGGCTAATCAGAGGCAGTGCAAAACCAAGTAAGGCACCTCCAATCCTTAAGGCAGTGGAGCACCAGTTTAAATGTAGAAAGTTTTTGAACGGTGATGGGGGATGATCAATACATTGACTGAGAAGACAGAGAAAATGACTTTCACCTTCCAGTCATTTCAAGTGAATGCATAGGGGACCCTGTTAGTTTTTTTAAAACTCTTACAATACTTCACTTTACAACTGTCACACCTCACTTTAAAAATACAATTAACTTTCTAAAGTTTCTCTGGCTTCACATATAGTACTAAGCATTGATCACTAATGCGATTGGACCAAAGCTTACGCCTACACAATCTTGCTTACATTTGCACATTAAAACATTTTTTAGAAAACTAAGTTCAGTCTATTGTGTCATTTTCTCAGCAGAATCCACTTGACTGAGATGAACGCCTACTTGAGTGAAATATGTAAACAGAAAAAGCTCTTTACCAACTTTGTCATCCTCAGTGGCATCCTTCAAGCGTTTGTCCAGATCCGCAAGGAATGCCTCAAGATGGCGTTTCTTCTGAGCAATGTCGAGTACTTTCTTTTCAATAGCACGCAGAAGAGGTTGTAGGGTTGCACGCAAGTCAACTCCTGTCTGCAGCTTGAACTCGTTGTGAAGCTTTGTGGAGGAAACGTAACACATAAACCTTGTTAGTTACAGCTGTACATTGTTCTAAAGAAGCAGGGTCAATTCTAAGGTTGCCCCTCACTCATAGTGGTCTGTGAATCGTTCTGTGTTTGGTGGTGGCTATTAACTCAAAGCAGTCAATATAATTGATGCTGCATATCAAACATACAACTGAATTGTACAAAATAAAGAGCTACCTGCTAGTCATGGCAGAAATGAGGAACTACTTCAATATGAATTATCATGTAATTTCGATTGCAGTAAACAAACCATTTTACGTAATCTGTGAACTGAATAAACCTACAGATAAGAAAATTAATGTCAGCTGGATTACTAAAATGAAAACAATATACTAAGAATCACCCTAGTATCTGTCAACCTTAGGTCATGCAAACAAGGACAGACTGTTGAACTGGCTTATCATATTTAGAGCTTTTTTTTTGTGAAGAAATATAAAAAGGAAACAAGGACACATCCAGGCTTAAAGAGGAAAATGAAGACATGTGCTGCTTTCAGCTGCGCTTAGTATGGGGAAGTGTACGTCTTAACTATCATGCACAGAAAAATATACAGGCGCTAACCACAAAATGATGCATGTACATCTGGGACGAGAACTCAAGAACTCCTGTCCTAAAGTGTGCAGTGCAAATAATGGCTCGTACACAGATTTTTATTCTTTTCAATAAAATATGTGCTGTCAGTGTAGTGAGGCCTAAGGTTACCACTTCTGCTGAGAAGTTAAGTTGCTGTCTAATCCAACCTGACAAGCACGAACAGTAATGTATGTTATCAAATGCATGCAATTGTCTTCTTTCTTAGTTACATTTCGCACATGCTCTCAGACAATATGACTCGTATAAAATTAGCTTGACCAACATACATATTACCACAAGTTAGGAAGATTAATTAATCCACCACACTTGAACGCAATCTGAAAGGCTTCGCATGTCTTGTGCCATGTCGGTCCAACTGAACAATGCATGAGTCACTGTGTCCGGAATAAAGAGGGAAACTGCGCACATTTGGTAGCATATACATCACTGTTTGGGCTTATAAGGTTATTGGACAGACAGGAACTAACATTCTAGGCAGAACTGGTAAACCTAGGTCTATATTAATTAGTTCTGTACATTTGTTTTTATTGAAAAGAACTAAAGCCTTTTTTGCAAGTACGTTATCATTGCACTGCACACCTGAAGAAATGTATTCTTGAATGCTTGTTGTCTGTGATGTACATGAATCATCCTGTCACAGTGTTTACATTATCTTCGAATCCGAACCATCTTTTGTGCATGAATGACAAATTGTATACGTATGTGGAACCATTCCTAGTATTTAACAGCTGGAAGTGGCACTTAGCTGTTTTCATTTTATTTCATGTCTGTCTCCTAGATCAGCTAGACTATTTAAAGTGTGCAGCAACATGACAGAGTGCACAATTTGCATATTGTCTACCTTTCTGGAGGTTTGCAAGTCCAGCTGACCTTTGAGACCATGAATTATCTATATATATACGTTGTAGACAATACATCAAAATGCATCATACAGAGCTATTCATTCAATATTGCAATGTGTGTTATGCACTACAAGAACAACATTCTCTCTGTACTTCTAAAATTTCAATTATAGGGTGCAAAAGGGGTCACAAACCACCCCTCGTGCTTAGTGAATAAAAAAAAATTGCCCGCAGCTTCCCTCGGGGGAACACTGAGGAGGATGCGGAGCATATAATTGGTTAACGGGTAATTGGTTAACGGGACTTACTTGGGTCGATGGCTAAATTGGTTAACGTGGTTGTGAAATGGGGTGTTAAATTGCGACTTACTTGGGTCGCTGGCTAAATTGGTTAACGTGGTTGTACGAGGGGTGTTAAATGAGTGAACACGTACGACACGTATGCGAAAGGGCGGTGTTTATTTATTGCGACGAACTTTGAGCACGATGGCTTTTAGATGCCACTTTGGCCGGCGCTGGTCGAAGGGACGTCGATCATTGCGACCTCGGACGTCGACGCGCTGTACAAACCAACCGACGAGCAGCAACTGAGCGAGCGAGCACCGACCTTGAGTATATATACAGCGCGACGGCGCATGCACTGTCAGCTGTCGAATGTTCGAGAAGGGGAAGAAGCGCAACGGCGCATGCGCGCGCGTCAGCTGCCGATGTTCTCGAAGCGCGACGGCGCATGCGCGCGCGTCAGCTGCCGATGTTCTCGAAGCAGTGACGGCGCATGCGCGCTACATTATACAGCTAGCGAATGTTCGTGAAGAGGAGAAGCGCACGCGGTGTGTAGAGGAGGAAGGGATGCACAGATGGTGGAAGAAGGAGGAGGAAGCTTGCGGACGGCGCCGCACTACAAGCCTCGAGTATTAGATGCTCCGCATCTAAAACATCCTGCATAAAGCATACACTACTATGTACAGCTCAGCCACTTTTTGCGGTCGTGCATTGCAAGAATAGTTAACAAGCGGAACAAGTGCCACAGGGTGCCACTGTCTGTCGGCACCACAGTCTGCTAACATTGCGTAGTAGCCACACTAGCCCCACAGAAATCACTACAGCAGAGAATGATTGCGTATCGTCATGCACTCAAAGTCATAACGTGCATTGACATAACTTTTTTCTCTAATGATAACCCTCCCTATGTAGCTTGAACAGTGCTCTTTGAAAGAAGAGAGCACCGAAAGTGCTAAAAGTAATCGATTGATTGTATTCCTTTCTTTGTTCTTGAACACTTAAAGAAATTTCGGGGCAATTAATACATAAAGCATTAAGGCTTGGTCCTCGGGTAACTCAAAGCTATTTTCACAAAGTGGTACAGAACCCCTTTAATGATGGGCAAATTACACAAGATTGTTATATTTAGCCCCTGGTTTAATAACAACTGGTCTCCTTCTGATGGCAGGCTTACCCTTCTAAGCAACTGACAAAGTTTGCCTACCTAGAATTTTCTAACACACATTTATTAAGGCACACCATGCTCTTATTATTTAGCTACACCTAATGGCTGCCAGGATTTAGGCACATGTGCAAAAATAATGCATAGGTGCCCTTGAACGTACTTGAAACTTATGAAGAAGACAAGGTAGTGATAAGAAAAAAAAATGAGTGAGCTGGATGATATTCACGATTAACAATGAAAAATATTGTGAACAGACGAGAGGAGAGCTCATGCTTCTTCTTTCTGTCGCTGTTTAGCACCCTGAATCAAGAACAAGGCACTTAATTTTTAACTCTTTGAGGGTCAAAAAAGAACATGTATGTCATTGTCTGTATGTTTAAAATGCACGCCTTTTTCATTCATTTCTCTTGCTTTGCATGCACTGCTGCACTGCAGGACTGCATGAAGTTTATCACTCCCATCGACGTCACTCCATTTTTATGCTTTACTACAGCGGAGTGCCAGCTAGTTTTAGTTTATATCTTTGGTCGGCCCTAGCTTGTTGGGTCCAGAAAACCGTCAGAATTTTAGTTTAGAATTTTTCGAAAGGTTTATTATTTTCACGTTTATTGCACCCCAGTACACGATTACACTTCTTTCCGTGCAGGCGCTGATTGACACAAGCGACACTGCTGTGGTTGTTTCCTGCTTCAGGCACTCACAAAAAACTGCTTTCATCTCAATGGTGATAAGATGAAGATTTACTGTAGGCTTTAGACTTGTTTCTGTTCTCCTAATCCACATACAATCACACAGATTTTTTTCTGTGCACTCAGCTGTGCAGTTTGCTTTTGCTACAGAAATGCACGCTGGTTGCTCTGCCTTCAGCGAGTCTAGTGGCGATTCCTACAAATCAACGCTGGACTGCTGAATCATAATATGATTCAGTAAATATTAGCTCATCATAAAGGAGTTACTTATGAATTAAGAATCGTATGTTGATGAATGAACAACATCTCAAAAGCATTCACGCTTTGGCAATGCTGACTGGACCACAGCGGCTTCCCCTGCCCCACATATTTCCACTTCTTGCCACTTCGTCCACTTATTTTTATGTCTGCGAACAGCACAATGTTTTTTTTTATCAGAAGTCTTTTATAGGAATCAATCTTGCTGTAACAAATGAACTAGCATAGATATGTAATAACACAAATGATTTCTTATGCCCCATCGATCACCCCAAAATATTATATACAATTTTTTGCCCAATAATTTCGTCTGAAGAATTTAATTCAGCAATTAAAAATACACATTCTCAAGAGGCATTACACAAAAGAAATCTACCCTCAAAGAGTTAAACGTCATTATACTGTCTGGCATTACATGTGCTTACATCAGCATGTTACATGGACAATAGTGGACTAACTGGACAAGGCTACAAGAAAACTAAATAGCCACTGCTCAAGATGCGTTTCCCACTGCTCCTGAGTTGGCAGATAGTATATCCACAGGTGACTGAATGAGCACTTTCGAAAGCATCTAAGCCAACAGAGAGCATCCAAAATGGACATCTCATATCTTTCAATTTAGACCAGAAGGAGAGCACATCACAATATTTGAGTATGATGGAGAATAATTGAAATATTCATTAGGTGTCAATTGTGTCCTCTTTTTTTTTTTCTAGCAGGCACAGCGCTTTATTACTTTTTCCCCTTGTTATGAAAGTGCCACGAAAAACCTTGTTAGGCCCATTCCAAAGCAACCGCAGCATTATTTGAAGGGCACACCATTATTAGTCGAGAAGGTCTCCCTTGCATTCACTCACCTTCCAGCCAACTGTATCACTATTTTGGCTGGTTTGTTGACAAGAAATGCAAAAGGAACGACAGCTTAAGGAAACACCACGAACTGCACAAATGCACATACTGCTGAAAGCATAATGAATGCTAAGATTTCAGTCTAAATACCATTGAAGCTATCAAAGCACACTGTGACCTTGATGCACATGTGTGCATCAAGGTCACTTCAAGGCCACTAGCACAAATTTGGAATGATTTCTTGTCGTACCAATTACTGTTCCAATAGTTTTATTCTGTGCACATCCCAGGACTAGAGCTGCCCTCCCTGAACTATTCGCTGTAATTGAAGAGGGCAAACTTTTAAAACAGCATTAGCTAATACTGTAGTCTTCAGATCCTAAGAACTTTGAACTTCTAAATTTTCTTTCTAGTGTACATGCAAATTCAGGTTTTAGCCTTCCCTGGTTGACAACTGAGTGCATTTCAAACAATGCTGCACCCTATCAAAACTTCAACAACAGATGGAAAGGTAACATGTACTGAGCATTAATAGGGCCCACTATCAGAACAATTCAGCATTATGCTATGAGGAGGAAAATGTATATGCTAAGCAAGAATACCCCAAAACCCCAATAAAGAAAGATGTCACTAATAATTACCATGGAGCTCAATTTCAGAGCTGGATATTCATCCGTGATAGCCTGTATGGATGGGCACCCATTTTCTATCCAGTTTCTTCTAGCAACAAATGTCCGTAACATGCGGTCAGTGACATAAGAAAGGTCCGGCTTAGTTTTTGCAAGTTCTGTTTTCATCGATGCAATGTGGCTCTCAACACCGCTTTCATCTTCACCGCCCCACACTTCAGTAACCTATAAGAGGAATAAATCATTTAGCCAATCATTTTTTTCAGTAAAATAACTTGATACACGACAAAGTCAGGCATTTAGAGCTTACAGTGGTTGGTCTTGTCACCCTTTTTAGAACTGGCTCATGAATTGTCATCGTGCCATCTGAGCGATGCTTTTTGGTAGGCACTATTTCCCCGCGGTGGATCCTCATCTTTCTTCGCTCATATTTTCCTTTGAAGCGCAAGGCCTCTCTCCAAGAATCCTGGAATTGTTTAAAAATTTGACAGTTTATTATACCACAAAATAAGAATGCCATGCTGATTTTAAATTTCATGAAAGCTAGAAGCTGATAAATCTGACACTTTGAATAGCCTGAAGTTTAAACATTTTAGATCAATAAGACTAAATGTATAAATATTTAGAGACATGCACTGCACTGCTTTCTGCACCTTAATTATAAATATGTTTCATTTTTTGTGAAACAAAACCAAAGCTAGTGCACAAGCACAATATGCTACAGAACCATCACATTCAAATACATGAACTCAAGTTATCCCTTGACATGCATCACCAACATCACTACAACCAAAGTTAGGCACCTGTATATTTGCTAGCTAATCTAAAAATGCATGTGCTTGCAGCACCAGCAACCACACAGTTATTGCAGAGGATTCACACTCTTCTAAATGCAGTACAACAGGACATTGATTATTTTGAAATATCAAAGTCCTGGCTCTGGCATAGTATGTACTAGTAGGAAAGAACTGCCAGAAAGATTAGCTCTGAGAGCAGTTGTTCATAATGCTGTATGTCGTTCATACAGACATCCTTTAAAAATGTTGCATTGATCGCAGTGCCTCTGTCTTCAATGCCTTCAGAACATTATTATGATTGCCAAACACTAAGCAACTGAGAATTTTCGCATACAAAAAGCTGACCGACCATCTTGAGTTGGCCAGAATTTACATGTGCTGATGACTAGCTGCATGTTCATGAAAGCCTGCACGCTAACCCATTACAACTGCCACCACACAGGGCTTACTCCCCTATATGCCCCCAGCCATTTTCAATTTCCTTCTGCTACAATGCATGCCCTCATTTACCATACTGTACTGACATATATTAAACTATGCTCTTTCTAACATGGCATTGCCTGCACTAGTGTGATGTACCACAATAGCTAGGTCTATGGCTGCTTTGTTCAAACAAGGGCGTTCTCCCTAGTTTCATATATATATTAGAAAAAAAAATTTTAGTCCTTATGGAATTGGAATTTCCAATGTTGTAATTTTTATGGCCAGGGTACAAATCTATGCAACAAAATGCTCGTACAGAGCAATCACTAAGCCGTAAATTTTGAAATAAATTTAGTTTTTCATCACTAACTGAAACAGTGAAGCAATGTAATAATGACTCTTCGTATATCCATGCCAAGTTCTACTAAGAGTGCAATAGTTTATATAAATAGTCATTCCTCTGATATAAACAAGAAAATATTACAATGAACGAATAGGAATAAATTCCTCTAACTTACATATCCTGTTCCGGTGCAGTCAGCCAAGTTTGGGAATTTTCGCACGAGTGCTTTGGCTGCTTCTTCATACAGCTTCCCAGGATGCCTAAAAAAGAACATTTTGGAGGAATGCTCAGCAGCTAGAAAGAAACAAGAGCTCAAATACAGAACAATAAGAAAAAAAAAAGGAAATGGCACTTTGTTGTACAGTTGGACACAACCTCACAAATACAACAACAAGTAAGGCAAGAAATATTACTGTTGTTTTGAAACCAGCAGTATATAAATATAGTGCCATTCTAATCACTTAAATTGAACAGAAAAACGTCTTTGACGTTATTAGGACTAAAATCCATAACCTTTTAATTATGGGCTCGAAGATCTATCAATTGGCAGAACATTAGACCCATTATTCAGAGGTTGTGGCTTAGGGTCCCACAAAGGACAAAGATGTTTTTTTTTTTTTACCACATCTATTAGCTTCAATTTCTCATATAATCAATACACTACTGCTACAAAAGAAACAAATGATGTCCCCTGTGCTTTCCTTGGTTTACTTGTCTGTTGTACTCATTAGGTTGTGTCTAGAAAAATGAACATGTGCCTGAAACAATTCACCTTTTTTTTTTTTCACATTGTATTCTGTAGATGCTCTAAATATAGCATTACTGCAAATTACAAGGAAGGCACTCAGAATATAACTAGAATTGAAATCCAGTGTACTGTACAGATACAGCAAGTGGCCTTCACATGCACATGCAGAAAGTCGCACAAATGTTTCGGTTATTTGAGATAGCGGAAAACAACACCAATATAATACACTACTTTGTTTACCAGCACTATAAAGCGATTTCATAAGAAAAATTTTGATTGCATTTTTCACCTAATCAGTGGTGGGATTGGCCAGAGCCATTTTGCCATAGCTCCTGGATTAACTAGAATCTTTGGAGCAGTGCATAACAACCATTTGGAGCAGTTACTTGCCTTAGATCTTCATATGCAAATATTTGACTCAAAGCCATAGAAGCTGCAACACACGTCAAACGAAATTCCTTTATGCACGCATGCATGTTCACATGTAGTACTCCCGAACATGAAATTAGGTCCCTGCTCTATATCTCTGCAGTCATCCCCAAGTTTAAGTCCAGTCAGCCCAAGCCACTTAGCACTTTCAGGAACTCACTTGGTATTTGTAAATGACCGGCTTTTCCTGATGCCAAGCTGTCTAAGTTTTCCATGGACTCAATTTACTTTCTAAAAATTAAAGCTTCCCATTAGTGGTACCAAGCCTGACAAAAGTGCGAAGCTGGGCAGCCTATTTTATTTCTTTTCAGTTTTCTTTTTAATTTCTTATTTCATTTTTTCTTTCTCTTTATTTTAGATTTTCTTCCTTTCTCCTTTTGTGTTTCTCATTTGCTCTCTTTTTTTTATTTCTTATGTGTTGTTGCCTGCGTTACGCCAAGTCATGACAGCATTTGTGTTGTCGCCACAATCCTTGTGAGCAGTCTTTCCAAGCAGACCTCTACAACAGAAAGAAAGGGTAGACTTGCACAGGCATACAAAGGCTGCCACGGCAGTGCATTTATTATTTTTTTTTTAGGGGGGGGGGGGTAGTGATGCATATTTATTTTTTGGGGTGGGGGGGTAGTGACACTTATTTATCTTGAAGATTATAGCAGCATACAGGAAGCCTTCGTTAAAAAGTGTTATCGATGCAGTGCTCATATGAGCACAGTTTTGTGTGCTTACATAGACAGCTATGTTTACATGAAAACCACTCTGGGTTCCTCCTCACTCGGCATTCTCTGAAACTGAAGTAAAAACTCGGCACTATAAAACGTTCTTTTAATAAATAGGCATTGCAAGTTCAAGCAAACACCATTTACAGCCGTGATAAGTAGGTCGTTAGCTATTTGTTAGACAAAAAAAAAATGAGATGCAAAACCTTATATCAGTGCTCTCTTAGGACGTCCTACTTTTTTATCAAGAGAGTGCTTAACCCTATGAGACGCTATGTACACAATTGTGTAAACCACTAGTTTTTGCTACTTGCATCAAGTAGAGGCTAAGAAAGAGCAAGATATATATAGTACTTCAGATGAATTAAACCTCCCGCATAATAAATTTGTCATCATTAAATATCATTTTGCAGTGTACTGTAGCACAAGATCACTTTTGTGAAGGCAAGAACATTCAACAAGTTGTGCAACATGCCACTTTCTGCAAGCCCATATGAAAGCAGAATTTTTTTTGCTCCAAATGGCCATGACCAAAAATTAATTTGAACTATGTAATATTCCTAGGCTGAGATTCGGTTTTGTTTATGACAAAAGTATTTATTAATTACTTCAGAGTAAACATATGAATTTACAAATTAATTAAGCCAAGTATATATAGTAACATAGATTCAATTAGCTCATTATTCTTGTTTCAATGCAATATTGAGTGCCTTGAAGTAATGTAGTGATTTGACACATTTAGAGACGGTTCTTCATATGTGGCGTCTGAGAGGGTTAAACAGCAAGTGCATAAATAACATAAGTACATAAAAGCACCATGATATCATACCCTGCATGAGGGCTTCGATTAACTGTTATTCCAAAGGCGTACTATCAAAATTGATAGCAATGGAGGGAGAGAGTGGGGTACAAATGAAGCAATTATTAGTTTATTGTTTTGTGAAACCACGTTACAACCTTAAAAGTAACCTAATTTTTTCTGTTTTGTTTTACATAACCCAGCTGCTTTATTGCTCTTTCAATGAGTTAGTTGTACATATTGAAAATGCTGTAGCGAAGCCTTCGAACTCTGAAATGGGTCGAACTTTTGAGTACCTTTTAGTAGGGCTACCCAACAAGGACGCCGCTCACGCTGGGAGTCCGTGCTTGGCTGTGACTGTCACCGTAGCGTATGATCGCTGGTTGCCGGCTAATAAATGCCTTAACAAAGTGGTGGAGGTGCTGATGGTAACGAATAACACATTGGTGGAGGTAATGATGTAAATATGTTTAGAAACAGCAGATTCATTAAAAATATTTAGTTTAAATCTAAAATAGTAAGTCTAGCAGGTTGACTTAAATAATAAAAAAAAGTTGAAGTGGCCTTTATTAAAGCCACATGCCAGCTTACAAATATGAAAAATTGCTATTACCCGTGAAACTGTACAATTATCGCTTTCTGATTTGAGCTCACAAACCTAAAACCAGCCGCTCTTGTTTTGAGTGCCTTGTCTTCTTACAAAAGGAAAAAGTGACCACTGAATGAACCTTGTGACCTTGTTGATATGCTGAAGCACTGCACCCAATAGAGTAGCATTTCTCAGTAGTATGGCGCTGAGTGCTCATGCTTTTTATAGTAAAACTCAAGGATGAGTACCTCGAGGCTTCCTCATGGCTACAAAAATCCAAATGCAGCAGAATGTGCCTTATCTCAATTAAGTCTACTGTTGACTTTCTTAACCAACTTTTTAGCTTGTATATCATAGCAGTCACCATCCAACAGCAAAACTAATTTTCCAGAATTGATTAACCTTAATTTAGGTTTTAGAGAAAGCCACCAGAGCTATAACGATCCACTCTGGCCACAGCTGAATGAACACCACCGCAGGCTTACAGGTGCAGAACTTTCCACACATATATGCATGATAAAAGCACACAGCATTCAGACTAAAGACTGCCCAACAGGACACTGGCCTTGTTATTCAGTGCCACAGTCCACTTTGCATTATAATATAACAATGCTAGTGTGAAAAACATGCACACAAGTACACATGAAATTGTGTCTCACATTCCATAAGAGCAGAGGTCACGAAACAGCCACTCAATCACCCGCCTTCTCTTTTCAAGGTGCATTCCTCGTTGGTGTGTCTCTACTGCCATTTGAATGTCCAGTGGCACAGGTGGGAGTGTGTACATAACAGATACAGGGCCTATTTGTGGTGGCAGTCGTGCCACTTCTACCATGTCCAGAACATCAGCAACCCTAAAAAAGTAGGTTGTATAACAATGGTAAAACAGCAAAATCATAGTTAAAAATTTTCTGAGTTTAATAAGACGGGGAGAAATTAACAGTAATATTAACTTTTCAGAAGAGGGTTTACATACAAGAATCAAGAACAGCCCATTATTTTTCTTGGGGGGCTGAGGGCATGTTTTATAAATGATATGCTGAAAGCAAGAAAACATTAGCAAGATTTGACTGATCAAGTGTTTGGTTTCATACTATGCTGCAGAGCATTGCTAAAACATGAAGGGAAAAAAGGTGCTCACAACACAATCTCCTTCATTCATATTAATTCATCAGACCCAGCAACACTGATTTTTCGTGTGAGGATGAAACATATTGATACAGAGGACTGCCAAATGCTCTAAAGTTGACCTGCAGAGCCATAAACTTGGCAATGCAGGTTATGCTTCAGAAATAAAGCTGTTTGCATCCTCCACTTTAAAACTAGAACACAGATCGGCTGTCTTATGGCACCCAATTAAATATGGTGAATATTTTACAACAGAACATATGTCAGAAATGTGTATACTTACAAGATGTTTTGTATAGTTACTAATGCCACAGTACTATTCCGTTACCAATGCATTTTATTACTGTGCCTATAGAATCCACAAAAATGACAATCTCTGGGAGCACTTGCTCAAACGCAAATATAACTTAGCAAATACACATGGTTCAAAGAAAAATAATGAGTAAATATATAAAGAAGACAGCTCTACCTTGCTCATTTTGCATCTCAAATCTTTGGTTAACCTCTGGTTATGATCTTTTAGAAAATTAGTGGAAACAAAAAATGCACATGAATTATGAAACATATTTAAAGTAAAACTTCTCAAATTATGCACTCGATATGTGCCTTCAAGAATAATGATGCCACGTTGTAGCAGATCTAAGCAATGGCACATAAAGAAAGTGTGTATATAAGCCAGAAAACGAGCAACCGCCTACACTGCATACAGAAAAACACTCATGACACTAGAGCAAATAACCAAGCACATGAAAAGCGTGATAGACAGAGAGAAAAACCCACTTCTTCGGGTTTTTTTAAAAAAGAAGATACAAAGAAGTCCTAAAAAGCTCTGGCCGCTATAGTTTAATTGAACGAAAAAAATACAGCGTCTATTCCGACATGGTCGTTTATGCATTTTACTTCTTCTTAAATGCAGCTATCATGATAAGAAATTAAGCTCATGTCCTCAAGCTTACTAATGCATGAAATCTTAGTAGCAAAACTGGCACAATAGCTGGCAAAAATTCGTTGAATATATCATGCTGTAATTTATTGATGATGGACTCACCAGTATTCACTCACTTCATCTAGCTGTACCTTAAACTTGTCTTTAATCACAAAGTCGTCTGTGACATCAACAAATGTACTGAAGTCCTCATCATACACCTGTAAAAATATAAGCATTGTAAGTGTTACATATGAAGCATGTGTACAACTTTTACTTAGGATTGCACAATGAAAAAAGCAGCAGTAACTGTTTCAACTAGACATGACAGATTTAATCCTAATGAGTAATTCAATGACATTACAAGTTATGATGCTGAAATTATTAAAATTAATTTAAATTGCTATATCAAAGCTGAATGAAATAATGATATGTCATTTTTGTAACATCTACAGCAATACTAGTTGGTGATGTTTAGTTCGTATGTGTAATGACCCGAGTACAAGACAAATGGCAATGCTGACATCAATTAACCAGTTAGTTAAAGTCCGCACTCTGTCTTGTGCCTTGTTATGATTGAACTGTTACACCTATGAACTAGGCATGTCACATCAATTCCGAAAAGTAATGAAATCGCATTGACAATAGTTCGTCTGGAGCTCCGAAGGCTGTCGTCTTTCAACAAATTTCAAGGCTTATATTTGGGTTCAGATGCTATTCCTGTTCTCTGTGGCATGGCCTCGTTCGATGCAATGCCTGAGCCACTTACGTTAACTCTTTAGCGCCAAGTTAACTTCCGAAAAACGTATTAATATTTCCAATTTCTTTAGGCAGTCAATCTTTCTCACGCAATTCTGTTTCTGAAAATATATTACATCATTATTTCTTTTTACTATTGACAGATCATTTTAAAGCAGAAAAGGACTGCCACAATAAAGGTGGTTTTCCTTCAATATGTATTATGGTAACAAAAAGTCAAAATGCTTTGAAAACCTAAGTAATTGTTTGATTAAGTGCATGGTGACAC